TTACTTAGCCTGGTAATGAAATGTTTGAAAACCAACCCACAAGTTTGGAGAATGAACATCCACCCTCAACAAGAGCTGTTTTCAGTTATATGGCAAAGAAGGAAATGACTATACTGGTTTTGCATATTATGTTATTGATCTTGCAGGGAGATCTCTTAGAAGTCTGATAGATACATATGTTGCCTGGAAGAAAGAAAGTCTCTCTCTCTCTCCCTCTCTCTCCCTCTCTCTCCCTCTCTCTCTCTCTCTCTCTCTCTCTCTCTCTCTCTCTCTCTCTCTGTGTGTGTGTGTGTGTGTGTGTGTAATTCATTTACAAAGGAAAAGAGAAACCCTATTGTAGTAGAATGCAAACACAATGTCTCAAGTTCAAAAATAACTAAACAGTTACAAAATTAAGCAAAGGCTGAAGTAGTACGATCAGGTCTTGGCAGCTTTGTTGTAAGAAATATCCGAGAAGTCCTTGGAGGAGATTCAAAGGAATTATTTTACCGAAAAAGAGGTTAAAAAGAAAATAAAATGATCTGTTTAGTCTAACCAAAAATATATGATGAGTGGGAAATTCTTGTATACAGTTGCCAGTAAAAAAAAGTATTAATGAACAGGCGAAACATCAGTGAAATAAACAGTAACTACTTTGAAGTGTATTCCTAGCATCCTGGGATTAACTGAGACTGTGAAATCTTCATTTGCCAGGACCTGTTGGCGCTACCGTAAAATTGCTGTTTTGTAATGAGCTGTAAGTAGAATTATAGCCTTGTTTCTCTATTTTCCTGCAAAAGTGGATCTTTAGATTGACAAGAGAGCCAGGTGAGTGTGGTGGTTAAGGCATCAGATTAGAAACTGGGAGACTGTGAATACTAATCCTGCATTGGGCACCAAGAGAATATCACACATGAATAGAAGCAAAAAGAAAAAGAAAAAAGGAAAGAAAAGAAAAGAAAAGAAAAGAAAAGAAAAGAAAAGAAAAGAAAAGAAAAAAGGCTTACTTACACTTTCCTGCAGCCATGCTTTAGTTTCCAGGCCTTTAATCATCCTAGTTGCTCTTCTCCACACTTTTTCCATCTCTAAAATTAATTTAGCCCCCTCCCCTTTTCATATATGTGCACAAAGCATTGCTTGAATAATTACTCTTGTAAATATACATATACCCAAAGAAATTTGAGGGCATATAGGTAACGTAGGCTAACATAAACCTTCCAGCATTTGCTTGAGAAAGACCCATTGAGTTCTATGGTTCTTAATCCAAATAGGTTTGCTGAGCATGAGCAGTGCTGTTCATCCAGCATGCTATCCTCTTTTCTCTGCCATCCCTCTCCATGTATTAAGGTGCTTCAGTGGAGAGCCTCTTTGTCCATCAACCTCCTTTTGAGTCCTGATTTGCACAGAAATTTTCCATGGATGGAGGGATCTCTCCACGAAGTGAACCTCTAAATGAGAAAAGTTGAGAAGTGGGAGGTAAAGTCAGTATTCTTCAACTCAACTGCTTGAAACAACCCATTCAATGATTTCTTCGTCTTATTTCATCTTTGCAAAAGTCAGAAGGTGTGGGATTAGGGATCTACCTCCCTGTCCCTCTTGAAATGAAGTAGCTTTTTTGTCTCTGTTGTCTCCTTCAGTGTTCTGCCCCAGCTACGTGTCCCAAGAAGTGTAGCACACACACACAGCTCCAAAAACTCTGTTTAATACAAACAGACCACTTTCAAAACGCAGGCTTTAAGGACAAATGTCCTTATCAGCCTGCTATGAATTACAGAGATTAAACAAAGTCTGACAAGGGTTGGCAATCAGCCCAGAAACCAAGTTGTAACAAAAAACTCACTCTCAAAATGCTCTGCGTAGGACCAAGTGTTGTTTCCAGCAATCATTGCTATCTGTGAGCGAACCTAAATAGGCTAAGGGAGTGGCCAATTAGCCCCAAGCCTTACTCTCGAGGAGACCTCCTCCTGAGTAGCCACTCCTGCCTTTTGGCAGCCCTACGTGCTCGAGCATTGAGAAGAAGCTCCTCCACTTCACTCTCTTCACTTGAAGGAGCCTCTGGAGTTTCTGAAGGCCCTGGCTGAGTCTCTGCCTCTGGCACCACATTCTCTTCAGCCTCCTCGCTGTCCGACTCGAGCGCCAGCTGCACAGGCTGCTGGCGCGACACCACACCAGCCTCCTCGTCATCGGGATCAGCCACAATCCGCACAGGCTGCTGGAGGGCCACAACATTCAGCTACTTACTTTTATTGTTCATACTCATCATGCTGTTACTGAATTTAACAGTGAAGTTAAAACACACTTCCTCCACTTCACCGCTAATTTGGGAGCAAGGGTGAAATGCTACTGGTTCGGGCTGGTTTGCCCGAACCGGTAGTAAAAAATGCTTTAAAAAGTTTTTTTTTTTAAAAAAAACTTTCGACGATTGTGCGTCGCTCAGCTGATATTTGGATTTTTTTTTTAACTTTTCAAGCATTTTTTTACTACTGGTTCTCCAGATCCGGTAGTTAAAAATGCTTTAAAAAGTAAAAAAAAAAAAAAAAAAAAACCCAGAAAATCCAAACATGCATGTTTTGTGCAGACTGCACATGTGTGCGCGGCACACATCTGGCACGCATTGCACAGCACGCATCTGGCGCTCACCACACATGTGCGAGCAACGAACTGGTGGCAACTGGCGGAGGATTTCACCACTGTTTGGGAGAACATCCACCCTCTCCATAATTAATTTGAATAAATGTAACAGTTGCATGTACACCCATATATTTTTCTAGAAAGGATTTATCTGTGTGCTGGTATGTAGGGATAAAAAAAAAATGAGCATCTATATGCATGGATAACTAAGCTAAGAGTGAAGCTTATGTATATAGATACTATGTGCTAGGAATGGCGGTGATGGGAAATAAATGTGTAAATGAGGAAGGAAATGTGTTACTAAAAGAGTGGAAAATGTAAGTTTGAAGGAATGATTTTGTACATTGCAATCAAAGCCTGCATCTGCCTAATTTTTACATTTAACATTTAAAAAATTTAATGGTTCCATTTTTGCTTGTATGATGTTGTAAGCCACCCAGAATCTTCTGACAGTAATATGGCATATAAATTTAATAAATAAATACTGTAAATAAGTTTACTAGCTTCCCCCCAACCTGGAATGTTAATGAATAAGAACTAACACAGGCAAGAAAAATAAATCCATTCTAGAATTTCCTGATAGTGGAAACAATTATCAACAGAAAGGCTTATCTCTAGAAGTTATGACGTTCCATCATTGGAGGTTTTTAAGAAAAGATTTAACAAGCATTTGTCTGGAATGATACATTTTCTCCTGCTTGAACAGGGGATTGGACTAGAAGACCTCCAAGGTTCCTTCCAACACTATTACTCTATGTTCTATGTTCTTATATTCATCATCTCAGTCAAATGACATCTGTTTTGCTCTGAAATAGGCCTTTTTGTGACTAGTAGCATCAATTATTTTGGAATTGGATACCTGGAAACCATGTTGCATCATTTAATATCTGCATAAGTATGCTCAGTCTCATCCTAAGGATCTTTGTTTATGTGTGGAGGGGGACAGAAAAACAAACCATCTTGATGGGAGGAATGTACACTTCTTTGAGAGACTCCTCAGATTGGTTTAGAACTTTTTTCAACCTAGGTTAATAGTGTAAAACAGAATGCAGTACATTCTGGAAGTGGAATTCTGTTAGTAATTTTGTTTATAATTGTGTTCTGTCATTTAACTGGATGATGGCTGGGAGGCAGAGAGGATGTTCCTTTTATTTCTGCTGTACTTGCCATATTTTTCTTAATAACAGAAAGATTTTATGTAATTGCCAGCTGGCTTTGGGAATTGATTAACTAACAGCAGACATTAATCTTTAAACAAATTAACAGTAACTTTGGTTTGAGATGCAATTTTTATCCTCAGTGTTTAGCAATAAGATATAATAGAACTGCAAGAGTTTTGGGATCTTCCATAGTGTAAGCTGGGACTAATATATATTCAGTAGATGACAATAAACACATATACACATTTTTCAAAGCTACACTTCAACGTGTAAAGCCTCATCATACAATCTAATTTGTATAATCAATTCTTAAACATGAATGTTAATTTTAAACAGTAAGTACTGTTTAAGTAAGTAAAATACAATCTAAAACTACAAAGTCTAGAAACAACTAACATGAAAATAAATCCTGTTTATAATTAATATTCAGTGTTCATATGCCAGTGCTTAATATGATTATGTGACATGCGGCTCTCTGGAAGAATATTCAACCCAACACATGTATTTTGAGATGATAATGTACTGTTGTAGGAGCAAATATCAAATTGAACTTAATATGGATGAAGATTGGTATCAAGAGTAAATAATTTGGTCAATCCATGAATTATAACTCAAATTCAAAGTTGCAATTCTGGATCCTAAAAGTGTCTTGTGCACAATATGCTTCATGGAAAAGCAAAATAAAATTCAAAGACATTTTTTCCCCTGTAAATGGGGCATTTGTGGAGTGGGATAAAAGTGAAGATGGCAGTCGTAACTCTGTAGTTGAAAGCTCTGCTTTTCTTTATGGGAGAGGTCTTCAGATGTGCAGTCACACCCCCATCTTGACTTTTCTGATTCCCCATCCCCACAGATGCCTCTGTCTGTTACAAGTTGTCGCAGTTAGACAAATCAGGAAAGATGATTACAGATTTATCCATTAGTATTGTCAAGGGCATGTGCAGAATACTGCTGGAGATGATTTTTGAATCATCAAAGTTGGAGACTTTGAATCCAACTCAACTTCTTTTGGTCCTGTGTGCAAAACTGCATTTTTGATTGCATGAAGGGGTGGGTGCATGTGCTAATATTATGGAATTGTAATGCTACTGCATAAGCTGATACTGTTTTTATTTTCTGCTGGGGATGCTTTAAGTGAGCTTTAGTTCTTTTGGTTGAATCGCTTTTGCTTGCATTTAAACTTTATGTTGATTTTGCTTCATTTTTTTTTCCATTTCTCATGCTGTTCAGGTTTTGGATGCCAGGAAAACAAAGGTTTGTTCACTTTTTGCAATCAGTTTTGTTTGCAAAATGTAGCATTTCTTAATGTGTGGTTTTTGATATGCTTATCTCAGTAGCTGCAACAATCCTGCTTAATAAAGTGGCTCATAGCTTTCATTAGCAACTTCATTTAACAGTTCAACTCCTTTACTTTCATACGGCGTGATTAGCACTAATCACTTGCACAGCTGCACTGTATGAAAATGTCTAAGCTTCTCTTCCCTCCTACACCCCAACCAAACCTGATTTCTAAGGCTTTTTAGATACAGTGTTTGGTTATGGAATGCCAGTCTTTAACATTTACATTTTTAACACTGTTCTTTTCACTTCCTTGTCATAAGGTTTGTGGTTCACTCTGGGTAGTATGTGTAATTTGTACTGTTTGTGTTTTTCATTCATCTCTCTATGGTTTCTAACTGCAGCCAAGAAGCATCATAACAAATACTATCACTCTCATGTGTAGATTCTCACCAGAAATTTTACTAATGTTTGGAATGTTAAGTAAATGTTACTTAGAAGTTTCTTTTTCATTGCAGCATCTTCAGTTAACAATTCAGGCGCTCCAAGATGAACTTCGAACCCAGAGAGACCTTAATCATCTCCTTCAGCAAGAAAGTGGCAACCGAGGGGCTGAGCATTTTACGATTGAACTGACAGAGGAGAATTTCCGAAGACTTCAAGCTGAGCATGATAGACAGGCAAAAGAGTTGTTTCTCTTGAGAAAAACCTTGGAAGAAATGGAGCTGAGAATAGAAACCCAAAAGCAGACACTGAATGCCAGAGATGAATCCATCAAGAAGCTTCTAGAAATGCTGCAAAGCAAAGGGCTGCCATCCAAAGGAATGGATGATGAAAATGAAAGAACTCGAAGGATGGCAGAAGCGGAATCTCAGGTTAATCATTTAGAAGTGATCTTAGACCAGAAAGAGAAGGAAAACATCCATCTTAGAGAGGTAAGGAAACCATGCTCATTTTGAACAGAATTCAGCTGCGGTTTTTGCAGAGTCTAAAAAACAAATGGAAACAGGATGGTTGCAATCTTACTTTCTGTAATAGTTTTATAAGTGGTCTTCCTCTCCAATCCACTTCCCAAGTGGCAAGTAGAATGTAAACATTTGAAAGTGATCCCCGTGCTTCGCCAATGCCATTTTAAACTTCTGGCTAGCAGTTCTGTGGAACTTAACTGTAAACTATTATACTTTATATGAGTGATGTTTATCTTGGGGAGTGGGTGTCTCTGCATGTCATAGTACACTCCTTTCCTCACACAGGGCCTACCAGTCATTCAGTAAAGTTTATGCAAAGCAGCCAGCAGTAGAGCTGAATTCTGGATCCTTGTCATGTTAATTGAATGTTGCATCTTACATTTATTGAAGGGAGAATTTTTGGCTCTTTTCTACTACTTGGGAAGGTGATTTTGCATTTCTGTAAAACAGCTTTTCTATGCAAGACTTAATACTGTTTTTACTGTATTACTGTATAAACATTGGTCTTGCTTAAGGGTCTGCTGCTGATTTTTGATAGTACAACCAAGAAGAATCTAAAGATCATCAAAAAGTGGTTCGGCTGAATAAAAACTGTTGATCATGGGTTAAACTTGGGCCCAACTGGATTAAGAAGGTCTAAGAAGAATATTCTCACTTTCACACATGGTTCCTCTTCCAGCTAGGATGTGCCATATTGAAGCATACATACAACCCTTAACTCATGAGTGTCCAACTTTTCAGCTTGTCTGGGATGCACTGAGTGAAGAAAAATTGGATTGCATATAAAATATATATTATAGTTAAGGTATATAAATTACAAATTTCCTTTAAAAAGTTATGATTTTGTGGGGCCACATTAGTAGCTGTCCAAGGCCGCATGAGGCCCGCAGGCCATGGGTTGGGCATGCCTGCCTTAACTGGCCTTGGATCCAATTTTTAATCTGACAATTCCTATGCTAACGTGCTTAATTCTTAGTATTCTAATTTCCTAAAACTATTTTTATAGGAAGAGTTAATCTTGATTAAATCATAAAGCAATTGTACAGATTACAGCACAGCATCATTCTTTGCAGCATGTTTTGCAGTGAAGTTTTTGAGGTATATTTGATGCAAATAATAAACATTGGCACCATTTTTGTAAAAATGTGGGTTTTAGGGAAAATATATAGCTGCCAGCTTTAATGGAGCAAAAGCTTACTAAGAGTTAATCAGATGTGATAGTGAAGAAGAGATGCCAAAAGAAGGTAACTCTTAGCTACTGGAATTCTGTCTCAGTTGTCCAAGTTGCATATTTCATGCCAAAACAAGAGATGAACACGAAGCTTTCAGGCTAATATAGCACATTTCATTCCTTATGTTACCCAGAGATGGGCCAATACTTCTGTCAGTCTTTTTCTAGCTTTGGGGCCATTTTTACTCAATTTTGCCTTCTACAGCTTATTACTGCAGCTTGATTGGATGTGAATCTATACAAGTGATCTCAGACAATGTACAATAAAGTCACTATGGATTGTACTTTTCTTTTCTTTTTCTCTGTTTATGTCAGCTAATGAGGAGACATTGAAATGCATGTATATGGGATAGTAAGACTTTATCAGAATACAATGGTCAATTTTGCATACTTATTAGGAAATTGCAATAAAAATATTAGATTTACTATTAAAGTTTCCAGTTGTCTTCACAATGCTTTTTAACTTTAATAGGATTCCTCTGTGATTAAGCTGTGTGATAAAACATAGAATAAGCAATGTTTTTTGGGAAACATTTAAAATCTTCCTTTATTCAGAGCAAAAAGTAATCACACTGCATGAGGCCCATTTTGATGTTTCCAAATAAATGCATGTAGTTAAATTTCTTGGTGTGCAAGCTGACACCTCTGAGAAGAATGAAGTGAAATGGAATGCTTTTTGTTTAAGAAATACTTATTCCTTTCATGAAGACAGATAGTTGCAGAAATTGTCTCCAAATGTAGTTATTGAAGGTAGTTTTTATAATCCCTGAACAAATTTTAATAGTGAAAGCGTTCTTGTTCGAATGGCAGCTTTCATTGCAATATATTTTTATACTGCCTGACTATGAGCAAAGGTTATTTACAAATGCCTTCTGTTATTGTGCTTTGTATAAATTAAACAGATATTTAATAATATGCATTATATTCATATTATTAACTATATGCATTATAAGAGCCGAGGTGGCGCCGTGGTTAGAGTGCAGTACTGCAGCTACTTCAGCTGACTGCTAGTTTAGCAGATCAGCGGATCAAATCACACTGGCTCAAGGTTGAATCAGCCTTCCATCCTTCCGAGGTGGGTAAAATGAGGACCTAGATTGTTGGGGGCAATATGCTATTCAATATACTGCCTTTGGTGTAAGCCGCCCAGAGTCTTTGGAGAGTGGGCAGCATAAAAATATGACAAATAAATAAATAAATAAATAAATAAATAAATAAATAAGAGGCATGCTTAATGATATGAGCCAATAGTGTGCTGTAGTTGCCAAAAAAGTCAACACAGTCCTAGGCTGCATTAACAAAGGGATAGAATCAAGATCACATGAAGTGTTAATACCACTTTATAATGCCTTGGTAATACCACAGTTGGACTACTGCATCCAATTTTGGTTGCCACAATGTAAAAAAGATGTTGAGATTCTAGAAAGAGTACAGAGAAGAGCAACAAAGATGATTAGGGAACAGGAGACTAAAACATACAAAGAACGGTTGCTAGCTTTGGGTATGTTTAGTTCAATGAAAAGAATGATGACTAGGGGTGACATGATAGCAGTCTTCCAATACTACTTTGTGGGGTTGTCACAAAGAAGATGGAGTCAACCTATTCTTCAAAGCACCTGAAGACAGAACAAGAAGCAATAGAAGGAAATTAATCAAGGAGAGAATCAACCTAGAATTAAGGAGAAATTTCCTGACAGAACAATCGATCAGTGGAACATCTAAGCTGACTTTGTATAAAAAAGAACACCGCTTGGGCCCCCCCGAAAGCCCTACTAAGCAGGTATATACAAAAGTATGAAGGCTATTGCTTAACAAATTGTAAGCTGCCCTGAGTCTCCGGAAAAGGGCAGCATATAAATCAAACCAATAAATAAATAAATAAATCTTGCCTCAAGAAATCATGGGCACTCCATCACTGGAGGTTTTTAAGAAGAGACTGGACAGTCACTTGTCTGAGATAGTATAGGTTCTCTTGCTTGAGTAGGGTGCTTGACTAGAAGACCTCCAAGGTTCCTTACAGCTCTATTCTATTCTAAAAAAATGTGTTGGGTATAGGGTTTCCTACCTGAGCAAGGGCTTGGACTAGACGACCTTCAAGATCCCTTCCAACTCTGTTATTCTGGATACACTCAAGTATTTAACTTTTTCCCAAAATGAGTAGAACATGTTTAGTCCTTTGAAAATAAAATAACAAAAGAACAAGGAAAGTTTACACAGGATTAGCAATGAGCTATTTCAAAGCCAGGATTCCCAAACTTTCTCTTATAGATCAATGGATCCAAATAGAATTAGATTTGGAGTAACCAGAAACCGCAGCATTAGTATTCTTATAATCTCTGTAAAATCTCTTAACGAAGTTTACACTAACTGTATAATTTAGGGAGAAAATGTGTCAACACCTGGACAGTAATTTTTTCACTCTTCTTAAAATGTTTACTTTCCAAGTCCTCAGAGCAATTCAGAGCATAGGCAAAAGCCTTTGTAAAGTTCTAGTTGTTACTGGACACCTTGCATCTGTTCCAGATATACTACAAGTAATCCTCATTTAACATTGACTTGCTCAACAACTGTCCAAAGTTACAATGATGCCAAATAAGGCATACTCATGACTGGTCCTTTTAGCTGTGGCTGTTAATCATGTGTCACTTAATCATGATCTGAGCATTCGGCAAGTGGCTTGCAATGATGATGCCACAGTGTTCTGCAGTACCACAACTGCCATTTGTGACTTTCCCTGCCAGCTTCTGACAAGCAAAGTCAATGGGGAGCTGGCAGGAGGTTGCATATTGTTGTGGAGGTTAATAAATCAATAAACCGTGAACCTCTATCTCTATGAAACTCTACTTAAACAAATGAGCCTCTGAAGCAGCCTACAGCAAATGTTTTTATTTACACAATAAAAACATAATAATATATATACAATTAATAAACATCACTAAGTTACTATTATAAATTATACTGTCAGCTATCTATCTATATACATATCTATTCTCTCTAAGCTATGCTATCTATGAATATTCTTCCTCAGAAGAAATACCACTTTATACCACAGAACTGCTCTTCTAATGGACTTCCAGACTGCTCAGTTATCTAAAGGAAGATCCTAGAATACAATACAATACTAGACAGAAGATCAAACTGAACAGCAAGGTGAAGAGCAAACTGAACACCAAACTGAAGAGCAAAGATTTCTGTTAAGAATCTCCTTTTATATTTCTAACTGTGACAGTTAGAGGAGGGCCCTGGAGATTCAAACATATTAGCTGCCCTCTGATTGGCCCACACATCTGTACATTCCAAAAGCCATTAATAGGCACAGCTATAGAGAAATAATTTTTCTCTAACACATATGTTGAACATGTGAATGCAAGGCACTGTGACTGTGAGAGATTCACCAAACAATGGCCATTAGGACAGCTAGCTCTGTTGTTGTAAGTGGTGCAGTGATATGATATCGCACATTATGAATATATTGCTTAGCGACAGATTCCTGGCTCCAATTACCCTTGGTAAGCATGGGTTATTAGTGAAGAGAAAATGTAGGCAGAAGAACCTACATTGGTTTTAAATTGTGTAAATTAAAGTTTATTTACTTATTTTATTAAATAAATGACTGGGCGGCTCACAAAGAAAAACATATTCATCTAAAATTGCAATTTGAGCAACTTGTAGACTTTTGTATTTGGGCAACATTTGTGATTAAAGGCAGTTTTTCCAATGTTTATAACAAGTTATTTTTTGTATCCATTTTTTCAAACTGCTTTAAAAGAATTTGGGGATGTGATTTATGACTTGAATAGATGACATTGTAATGCCCCCCCCCCAATAGCAAACTGCTCTCAGAAGTCAGCACTGCCAATATACAGAAAATTGGAGGCTACAGTTTTTTGACCCAAAATGGGAAAGGTGCTCTAAAATAAAGTTTAAAATCACTTCATAAATAACATCGTACTCTTACATAGACAATGTATTAATCATGCTGTTTCAACTTTGTGATGGAGCCAGTGTGGGCCTATACTTTCACCTCAGATTTCCATATTTGTGTACAGCAAATTATATTTTATAACTATATTTTAAATTATATTTAATAATATAAAAATACATTTAATTAACTTTCCTGTTTTAAAATAAAGGATTCCTGACTTTTACTCTCAAATTTTGTCACACATGTCTGATGTGATAAAAAAAATAATTCTTTTTTAATCATGTGGAAATCTAGCACAGATAGTTATTATTACTCTTTCTTAAATGTAGTGACCTCACATGCTTTACTCTAAGTACCTTAAGGATTAAATATATATAAATTATTACTGCTGTTAAAATCTTGCCTTTAGTTGATAAATCTCTAATAAAGTGTAAAGTTCCACTAAGTGTTTTATGTATACATATACCGATACTCTCACAAACCGAGTATACATTTAATGCATTTTCCCTAAAACAGAATATGATGTCATTATTACGTGCAGTTTTTAACCCAGGCTTCTATCAAAGTTGTTTTGTTAAACTGAAAAATAGGGTGGTGATGTATGTAAGTGTATAATTATACAAGTACCCGTTTCAAATGCTGGACAACTTAAACCAGAGAAAACTTTGCTTCTCTCTCTGCAAATAACCAACTGAAAGGATGAGGACTGATAATAGAACTTGAACTGCTGACATGAATTATTTATGGCAAAGTTTTTAGAACTTATTCACGGAGTAACATTTCTTCTGTAAAACAGATGCTTTGCAGACATTTGTGTTTATTGTAAATGCCTTTCATTGGAGCCAGTTATAATTTACTAAGGAAACCTTTTATCAACCCCAAGCATTTCTTTCTCCAGAGAAGTTAGTTATACAGATTAGCAACCATTCCAACACCAGCCTCTTTATTAGGTTCATTTTGACTTATTTTAGACAAGCTCACAAACTGTGAATTGTGCTTGAATATATGCAGATATGGTATAAATATAACTGCATGAGCTCAATATATGGGTATGTAACATTTCTCTCTTTGTGTATATATGTGTTCGTGCATGCTATGAATACCATCCTATCAAAAAGGCGATTGTATTTTATTAAAATTCTGTGTATAAATTAAAATACAATATTTTGGACCGAATTCGTAGGTGTGGAGTAGGACGCTTTCATAATCTTGGCACAGACCCCAGACAGGAAAACATAGATTCACTCCAATTATATTCCTGAAAACAGTAATTATATTTAAGGCTGGCTGAAGGCGTTTTTGCTGCCTCAAGCACTACCACAGCCAAAATATTAGGCCCAAAGGCAGGACAAGCTTTTTTTGCTACCTGAAGCACAGCATGTCACAAGTACTTTTCTCTTGACTCTTTAATTTACTTACTTGTAAGTAAGTTTCCATAATCAACTGAAAATATGAAGGTACTATGCCTTTATAACAAATGGTGGATGAGGGTGGGGCTGATGTAGAAAATAATATCCAATAGTCTTCATATTTAGACTGCCTTAATTTTCTGCCCAGCTACAGAAAGACAAGTTATTAGCATTCTCTCACCCTCCTGTAGTTTTCTTCTATTCATCTTTTTTTTTTTATTATAGGAATTACAACTAATTAAAGGTTTAACCTATTTTATTTAAACCCATGTCAAAAGGTTCCAGGAAATTATGCTGCAAGTGGGTGCAAAAAAAGAAGATGAGGGCTGCATGGATCTACTGGCTGTGTGGGATGCTTATCACAGCATTTTAACTTAAATAACGAAGGCAAGTGGGGCCCAATTCTTCCCCAGCAGAAGATGAAACTCATCACATGCATTCACACTGTCCCTCGGGGCATAGCATTCTTAGACTACAGTTAAAAACCACCATTCCCTGTCTTCCAAATCTAAATTCAGTGATGATAATTATAATGATGTTACAGTATGTCCAGTCTGAGGAGAGCATATGTGACTTCATTAACTATGCCAACAAAGTTTCTGCTGGCCCAACTGGGCTCTAACAAGGCTGGCAAATTGTTCCGTGCTTATAGATTTTCTGCAGGCCAGTTTAAGGACAGAAGTTGGGATATTTCTCACCCAGCTTTATCAGACAAAATAACATTATCATTGTCCTGGGTGGCCTTTGACATATATGGGCAGTTGGCTGAGAAGGGATGGCCATCTTTAATGTTGCCTAAGTGACAGCTCACTGGTACAGAGGTGCTCTGCTCACCTATCTGGTCACCTAAATGACCTATCACTATTTCTGTAAGACTAGCAACTCCTGTCAAAACTGCACACCTGACAGCTGTTTGGGTGGAAGCAGAAGCCTTCACTTCTGCTTCATTCTTGTTCCATCTTTGATCCATTGGCCTGGTAGCCATACTATTTTTGGATGTGGGTTTGCTAGTCATTCTGTACTGAGTGGAATGGGAAACTGGCAGTTTTCTTGCCAATTTCATTCTAGCTTCCTCAAAATGGCACTTTCCAAGTAATAAAAACAGCAGGAAACCTTGGCTGTGCTAAATTCATTGTTGGCAAAAACAATGAGAAATTTGTGGAGCCTTTTCTAATGAAAAATCTGCAGTACATTCCTTTGGAAACCAGCAACATACCCCTAGCAGAGCCAAGCTCCCTTTCCTAGTTTAAATTGATTTTCTATGCAAGAAAATATTTATATTTTTTACATAGAAAGGAAACCTTCCTATGCAAAGTCATCTGTTGACTTTGGGCTAGTATAAAGAAATGGAAATGTTATGTTATGCCAGTTGTACCCATTCATGGACTGAGGGGCCCTGCATATGATCACTCACAATGATATCTTCCTGATTGGATTGTTGCAATGCAATCTACATGGGGCTGAAAACCACCTGGAAGGTTTACTTGATTCAGAATACAGTGACATGGATAGTTATGGGTGCAGTTCCCTATGGCTACTCTGAGAGATGCACTGACTCCCAAAAAGCTGCCAAATATGATTCAAGCTGCTGGTTATGATCTCTGAAGCCTTACATGTCATAGACTGGGTTACTTGAGGGCCTATCTTTTCCCAAGAACATCTCTCCGCCTGATATGCTCCCAAAGGGAGAGCCTGTTCCAGGTTTCTTCTTTTAAACCTTGTCATCTTTTGGGACCTAGGAAGCCTGCCTTTTCTATGGTTGTACTTGTTCTATGGAAGGATTACCTTCACTCTCCCCATATAACTCTTGTATTTTGTTGTTTTCAGGAAAATCCATTAAGATCTGGCTCTTCCCCCAGGCATTAGTGGCTAGTTTAGTGGGAGTTATATTCTGGGAGTTTGGTTGCCATTTTATATTTTGTAATATTATATTGTCTGTAGAGGTGAGTTTTCATTTGTTGTCTGTAAATGTGAGAAATGGAAAAGTTAGTTAGGTCCTTATCTAAAAACATTCATTATTTATGTATGCATGAATGTTTGTATGTATAAATGTCTTTCCCCCCTTTTCCTTAATTAATAAAAAATCCTTAATTCTTTAAAATACTTTTCTGTTAACATTTAAGTAGACAAATTTATAATCCTGTATGGATAATATAGGACTGATTGCATTATATGCAAGTACTTCAGGTTCTTGGATTTTTTTTTTAAAATAAAACATTAAGAAGCTATATCCAACACATACAATATGATGATTCAGTGTCATGTTTGTTTGTTTTTTAATTTACCTCCTGCTGATTTTCTTGTTGAGATTCAGCACTAATACAGAAATACAGCCTATCCAGTTGAAACTTTGTCTTACAGTATATAATCTCAATTGTAATATGCAATGGGGAAATATTTGGATCAGGTGAGTAGTATCTGCAGAGAATTATGCACTAAGATGCATTTGCTTGCATCTTAGTGGGAATACTCTGGAAGACATCACATCTGAGGCTTTGAGTTTTGCATATTTAATCCTAGATAAGTGGGAAAATAGCTTTAAAATATGAAAATACATTTTGCAAATATTTCCTATTAGATTGTTACATTCCGTGGTGGCGCAGTGGTTAGAATGCAGAATTGCAGTCTAAATCTGCCCACAGCCTAGAGTTTGCTCCTCACTGGCTCAAGGTTGACTCAGCCTTCCATCCTTCCAATGTCGGTAAAACGAGGACCCAGATTGTTGTGGGCAATATGCTGACTTTGTAAACTGCTTAGAGAATGCTGTAAAGCACAGTGAAGTGATATATAAGTCTATATTGCTATTGCTATCTTATGCAGCCAAGCTTTTTAGTAGGATTAGTAATACTTTGTTATTGGCTTTATTTACATTGCAGAGTACTGGCCACCTTGGTAGCAATAGAAAAGCTGGAAATTAAGTAAAAGAAAAAGAAATGGGCTTTCATTGTAGAGGTACCCCAATTGCTGCCAGGGAGGAATATATTGATGAAGAATCAATAAATGGAGTGTTCTGGGAACTGTTTATTTTGAATCCACTGGATTCAAAGTCATTCTATTACTGTAGGTAATCTAATATGGGCCAGTCAACCGTACCAGCCATGGATCAGGCGAAGTTAATTTATCCCATATTGCTAACGTGGGAGGGGCGAGTGCAATTTTTAGTAATATCAGGATT